GGGATGCTGTGCTCAGGAATCTGGCCAGGGTAGCTCAGTTCCGGTTTGGACAAAGTTTGTAGGGTGTTTGGGGAGCAAGCTTGTACCGGGAAGTATCCATTCACAAACCATTAGCCAGAGAGTGGAAGACTAAAATAGAACATCCTCTGAAATAGTCTGGGGTCAAAACAGGAGGTTTGGGGTATCCCAGTGCAGGACGTCTTGCATACAAGGGCCCCAAAAGGTAGAGAACAGGCCTACCGCCTGGCACTGCAGTGTCTTTATAGGCAGACTGGGAGGCGAAAGGAAAGGGATCCTGGATCCCTTTAGGGGCCATCGCTTGAAATTGGGTAATTCACCGAGCAAGTCTGTCCTATGGTGGGGAGTGGAGAGTGGTTTTCCACTGCCACCTGGTAGCAGGAAAAGTTTTAAATCCTAGTTAATGATGGAAGCCACTGGCGCTGATGACCAATCAAATGCTGGTGATGCCGCCAATCAAAATTAATAAATCCAGGTTTATTCTGAGCAAAGCACTTCCAGGTGGCCCCAGCTGAAGTCGAGGAGACCACAAGAGGAACCCATGAGGTGGGGGTTTTAATGCCCTCCTGGGATAGAGCCTCTGGGATTTCTCAGGGGTGGAATCTGTACTGAGGCAACTCCAGGGGAAGGGGCTTGGGGACGGAGCCTCCATTCGAACATTCCAGACTCTTTGCTTCTGTGGATGCCAGGGGCTGGAGTGAAGCTTCCACCTGAACAGTAAGGAATATACTGAATAATGACACATTTGGGGGAAAAAGTGTACAACAGTACCTATTCATTGGCTATTCTTTTAAATAATATATTTTTGTTTATAAGGAATTTAAAAGTATAGTGAAGTGGCTTGAACATCATTAAAATCAATGCAAAGAGATTACCAATGCAAAGAGTTCAGGAGAGGCCTATTTATTTGTATATTTATTTAGAGACAGTCAAGTAACTCAGGCTGACCTTGAACTCTAGAAAGTCTATGTCCTCTCACCTCTACCTACCAAGTACTAGGATTACAGATGTGCGTTACTCTGGTTATCTAAGCATAAGAATTAAACAAGATTATACCCAGATTCCTTACCTCAGTTATTTAACACAAATTTGGCACATATGTATAGTATTACAGGTGAGATATTGTCTAGTCCAATATAAGATGTGGTCCACAGTAGAAGATTATAACCAGGACTAATCTGAGGACACGATTTAAGAAGCACATTGAATTTCTCAAATTTAGTTTTAAATGCCTGCTCTTGCATTTACAGCCTGCATGACATTGTCAAGTAAATTAATCTAAGTCTTCATTTTCTTACTTGTAAATGGAGATAATAAGATGAACCACGTCCGAAAGTCATTAGAAAGTCTAAGATACTTGAAAATAGAAAATCGAGTTTATTATAAGATCTCTTTTGTTTTCTCGCAACTTTACAATTAGTTGATTATTTTGAAAGACCCTCGGTGCTGGGGAGACTCTCACTCAAGTCTCGGGATAACACGACCCCCCCAGTAGCTCACTAGAGACCATCCTCGTTGCAGTCACACGAGGCTTTAATGATGAGGTGAGACGAGAACCAGTGCCCTGGGGCCGAGACTCATAACCCACACAGGGGAGGAGTTCGACCCCGAGGGACCAGGAGAAGCAATTTTTAAGGGAAGAAACCACAGCCCAGTGATCCGGAATTGGCAGGGAGTGTGTCACAGAAAATACCTAAAATACTAATGAAGATTACAAGGGGGCAACCCCCTGCCTCTCAGGACCACTCCCAAGGTCATAATCAGCTAGTTCCTAAAACACATTACAATGACAATCACAAGGGGGAAACTCCCTGTTTCTCAAGATTATTCTCAAGATTACAACCTAATTTTATCTTCAGCTAGTTCCTGAAACACAGGAACTAACCGGCTAATCCTAGATTTTTGATTCTTCTCTTCCTGCTTGGATTTTTGGCTATTTTCTTCCTGCTGGGGAGGTCCGGATTTATCCAGGTCTTTCAGTTTCTTTAAATTAGCTTCTAAGTCTGGATTTTCTTATCTGTTTTGTCACATCAAATGAGGTAAGTGTTCTGGAGCAGGGCTGTGGTGGTGCATGTCTTTAATCCCAGCACTTGGGAGGCAGAGGCAGGCCTCTGTGAGTTGGAGGCCAGCCTGATCTACAAGAGCTAGCTCCAGGACGGGCTCCATAGCTTCAAAGAAACCCTGTTTCAAAAAGCAAGGCAAACAAACAAGCAAACAAAAGCATTCTGAAGAGACTGCACAGCTACATATGAAGGACTCTTGTTAGGATGTATAATAGATCTAGTTTCTCAAAACCTTTAAGGATTGTCTTAAGTTCAGAACTTGAGCCTCTATATTCGGCAGTCTGACCAATTTAGTGCCTGGACTTTAATCCACCACAGGCTAAAAAATACACAACAAAGGCTTGCAAATAAAAAAAACTACTCTTGTATTCATTGCTTTTCAAAATGTGTTATCTCTTAAATATATCTTTGTAACAAAGAGAATAATGTATTAAGCTGATTTAAAAACAAACAAACAGCAAACCACCCAAAATGAAGTCATGTCAATTACCGCAGGGGAATCGTCCAGCTTTTAATTTATATAGTTTTCTACCTGTATCAGAAAGGGGTAAGCGAGAAAGCCAGGATGAAATTACTTAATGTTGCTGTTTCCATCTAGTATAAAGGATTTGATGCTGAGCAAACTCATCCCTGCTCTGCAAAGATGCAGGCTTTCCACCACCACTTGAAAATTTCAAGACCTTCATTTATTTGTATCTTTTATCTACTTTGACACCCAGTAAACTGCACAGATTGTAATAGGAAAGATGCACTCAGTATTTCATTAACTGAATGATTTTATGTGTGGGTGAAGATTGGATTTAGAGTTCAAAGACTAGAGCTCCTGTGTTAGCTCTATTCCTTTTGAATGAGTGCCCTTAAACAATTATTTGACTTTGTGAGACAGGGTTTGTGTTTTCTCCCTGCTGTGTGTGTGCGTGTGTGCGCGCGCACCCAGGCTGGCTTTGAATTGGTGATCCTCCTGCCTCAGCACTCTGAGTACTGGGATTATAGTTATATATCACCATATCTGGATTTTTTCCTTGAATTTTGAAACAAGAAAATGCATATGAATGCTTTGTAAATTATAGAACACAAACCTTAATGTGCAATTACGATTAATCATTAGTAAATTTTATCAGACCAGAACCTCAAATATAGACCTGCTAATGCTTATTGGTTAATATAAACAAGTGTACATTTAACATGAAAGTAAGGACAGAAGACAGACTGGCAATTGTACTATTCTAATTCATTATTCTATGGCATTGAAAATAAGGTCACAGGATTGATGAAACAATGGACAAACTCTAGGGCAGTTTTGGAGCCAGGATATCTTTGTTCATGATACAATACTGGGCTTCAGTGAATTCCCTTAAAGTATTCATTGACAAAATAGTCATTTGTTCTTGCCTACTTCACGTACGCAGATGCAGGTTTTAAACCTAGAGACCCTTGCATTTGCATTATGTGCTAGGTGGAAAGGTGTACAAGCTTTCAAAAGTGTGTGGGATTGCATTCGAGATTTTAATTTCACAATGCAATGAAATTTATGCAGTCTACATTATATTCACAGATAGTAATGGACAGACTTGGAAGTAGGACACAGATGAGACACACAAAGAGGAAAACATGACTAATAACAACACCGGAGCAAGAAATGAGTGAATAAAATATAAAACAGACAACTAGGTCAAGGTTCATTTTCTGCCAAAGGCCTGGAGAGTCCCATTATCTGTCACTCATATTTCTGTAAATTTGTGTGTGTGGGGGGGGGTATACTGTGGTATAGGTAATGAAAATAGAAAGGCTATCACAGCTGGGGAACAGAGGTTTTAGTAAAAGGCAGGGGGAGAGAATAATACATGACATGAAAGTGAAGAATGAACTACTGGGGGTTGAAGAGGAGAAATAGGGGATGAAGGAGAGGTGGGGGGGAGAAAGGTCAACCAAAATAAAGCATTATGAAAACGATATAATGAAACCTATCGCATTGAAACAAGCAAACAAACAAATAAGCAAAACAGATCTTTGAGTTACTTGTTAAAACTAAAGATTCTTTGGTCCTATTTCATGATTACTGGGTTAGAATCTCAATGGTAAGCTATGAGACGTTGCTTACATTATGAATTTTGAGACTAGGGCTTGCTGTGTAACCCAGGCTGGCTTCGAACTCTTGGGCCTTTTGTGTCAGCTTCCACAGTGCTGGGATTACAGATGTGTGCCTTTCTGTCCGGTCAAAACTTAGCATTTTAACGAGCTCGACAATTGTTCTGATACACACAGATGTTCGAAAATTACTATCCTAGACATTTGTGTTCTTCTCTTTTGTGAGTACCTATGCATTTTTGAAAGGCACCTTTCCAAGTATTGTTTGGAAGAACAAAGTGACAGTGTATCGAAAATGACAACAAATTTCCATGGCAACATGTGCAGTGTAGGGCCCAACCAATACTAGTAAGAAAAACTTTGCTGATCAAGCACACTTATGAAACTGCAGCTTCTAGAACTGTCTAGAAAGGCCATACTTTTCAGTGGCCTACTAGTTCTTCCTCCTTCCGTAACACGAATAAACTATTAATTAGCTTGAAGACGCAACTGACTCAAGTACAATTTCTTTGCCAAGTCAGAAAGTCTGAAAGCATGGGCCTAACATGTATAACGCACCCGTATTTTCTCTTGGCTGTACCAAAGGTCTGACTGCAGGAAGTCCTAGGGATTTTCCGGGGACTCAGCAACCAAGAATTTCTGGCTTAGCCGGGTTTGCCAGGCTACGTGTGAGAATCTGTCTAGCAGGAGAGACTCAAAAGAGTTAACAAACCAGCGCGCTGCAGACTGACAGAGAGACAGGCCAATAAGGTGTCTAAGCCGGCAGTACGTCTGGTGTGGGCGGGTGTGGGACAAAGTGTGCAAAAGGACCGCGGAGGCCTAGGGGTGAGAGGGCAGCCAGGGTTAGAGATTGCTGGAGGCGGGGGCCCGGAGGAAGCACGTGTCCGCATCCTTTTCTTTCTGCTCTTTATCTCTTTATCCTTAGGGTTGATAGCTGCGGGGACAGCCCGGGGCCCAGTGTATGGCCACGGAGTTACAGCGTCCGGACTCCATGCCCTGTCACAACCGGCAAGTAAACTCTACTTCTACCCCAAGTCCCGAGCATCTGGGAACAGACGACCCTATCCTGGATCATGCTGAAGAAAATAACGCTGCCATGGCTAAGCTGACTCTCCTCCCTGGGCACGCCCATTCCAGCGTGCTCTGGGAGCGGGACTCTCAGGCCTGCTGTGGCATTAATCTTCACTCTGAGAACCACAGTGACAGTAGTGACAGTGGCAACTACGACGCACCTGTCGGTGACTCCCTCCTAGGGGACTGTGAACTGTCCCGACAGATCGGGGCACAGCTTAAGCTGCTGCCTATGAATGATCAGATCCGGGAGCTGCAGACTATCATCCGGGACAAGTAAGCCCTGAGCGGAAGGGGAAAAGGGAGTGGAGGGGCTACAGGGTGAAAGTAAAAAGCCTGTGTTTGAATTTGGCAAACTGGCCTTTGAGGATTAGAGCCAGGCCTCTTTGGAGTGTGAGTAGGAGAGTCAGCTAGACACATTCAATAGCCCTCTTTTAGTTCTTGTGGCTAACGTTGCTTTGTGTAGAAATGAAACCTTTTAGACAGCTTTCAGCGTCTTCCGGCCTCTTTGTCTCTCTTAAGCAGAACCAATCCTCAACTATGCCTGGCAGGTACACACCCCTATGCCATCTGCTCAGTTCCTGACCACGTGGTAAATGTATAACCCAGAAATGGTAACTGCTTGTGGTTATTATCTCCTAACAGCCCAGGCTCACAGAAATAAAGCAATTGCAAGGGAAATGATACTGTACTTCTCTGGCCCTCTGACTCATAGTTTGTGACTGCAATGTGCCATTTTGTTTACTGTTTGGGAGTACAGGTTTACTGGTCTCCAGAAAGTTGAACATTCCATTCTTATCAAGATTGCTTACTGAAAACTTACAGGCCTCAGTTAACTGCAAAGGCTGCCTAAGAACATGTTGGACCCTCCTAATCTCACAAATAAGTGTAGCAAGAAGTTCAAGAAGTTTGGAATATGAGGCTTATCAGATGAAATACAGCTGCCATCCTTCCTTTCCTTCCTTTCATTTTCCTTTTTTTTTCTTTTTTGAGACAGCGTTTCCCTAAGTTGCTGCTCATATTCTGGCCTCAAACACAAGCCAGCCTCCCAAGTGGGTGGAACGACTGGACATGAGACAATGCCTGGCTCTTATTGGCAGCTTTAAATGAGTAGCTACAGCATATAAGACCGCTATTTTTCCAGCGTGCCTTGACAGTTAAAAAAATGCCCTAATGGCCTGGTGGTGGTGGTGCACACCTTCAATCCCAGCACTGGGGAGGCAGAGGCAGGTGGATCTCTGTGAGTTCGAGGCCAGCCTGGTCTACAAGAGCTAGCCAGGTCAGCCCCCAAAGCTACAGAGAAACCCTGTCTCGAAAAACCAAAAAAAAAAAAAAAGAAAAAATGCCCTAACTTAAATCAGATCCTACCAGCCTTACCATGCTCTTGTAGTAGGCTCCCGCGTTTCCTCACTGCACTGTTCCTGACTCTCACATACATGCACCTTTTAAACACAGCAGCCTTGATTTGCTGACAGCCTCTCAACAGCCTTCATTGGATTATCTGAACCTACCAAAGGTGGGAGTGTTTGGCCCCTTTCAATTCTGAGACATCCTTGTTTCTGCTTTCATTTGGAATTCCCTATATCCCCATTTAGGAATGGTCAGATCCTGTTTTTTAAGGCTACACTCATTCTTTCTGGCTCCCTTTCCCTGACCCTTTAAAAAGGAAGACTTGTCTTCTATTTTGAATATTATTACATGTGCATGGATCTTACTTTGCGTATTAGGCTTTATTATGCTTTATGACAGAAATCTTTTTACATTTTTGAATTACAGCCATTCCTTGCCAGGAAGAGATGCTCAATCATTAAAGAGTGTTTCTATCTTTTGTAGAGCTGGAGTTTTACTATATAGCTATTTGATCCTTCTGCTTTAGCTTCCTGGATGCTTGAGTTATGGGAGCGTACTACTATGCCCGGACCTAGCTCATAAAATTTTATTTATGAAACTGTACTATTTGTTTATAAAGAATCAGTGTTGAAAACTGTGGTCATGTGATCTAATGGCATAGAGGTTTTGAAAAAGATAGGGCATAGGCTTGGTAGTTGTTGGAATAACTGAAGTAAAACATCTATGAAATAAAAACAATTTGATGATTCTTTTTTTTTTCTGTAGCTTTAGAGTGTGTCCTGGGGAACTAGTTCTTTTAGACCAGGCTGGCCTTGAACTCACAGAGATCCACCTGCCTCTGTCTCCCGAGTGCTGGGGTTAAAGGCGTGTGCCACCACCGCCCAGGAATTTTATGATTCTTAGAGTTAACTAATTTTGGTTCTTGGACCCTATTGTATTTATCTGTAGATGAGTTCCAGGGCTCAGGAAATTTTTGGTTATTTTATTTTTCCGTTGTCATGATAGTTTTAAAAATAAAATCTTGAAGAACTGGAATTTAGCTCAGTAGTGGAACTTTCACATTGTAGACACAAGACCTTGGATTTGATTCCAAGCACTGCAAATAAGAACATCTTTATTGCAGTACAATTCATATACAATACAATTTAAGCATTTTAAAGTATATACTTAGTAGTTTTATGTATGTTCATGGTTGTTTATCATCACCTACCACAGTCATGGCCTTACAGGTCAATCCCCTTTCTCTAATATTCCCTCAGTCCCTAAGCAGTAATTAGTTTACTTTATATTTTCTTTGGTTTGCCTATCGTGGACATTTTATCTTTCTTCATGTGTGTGGTATATGTGTGTGTTGCTGTTTGTGTGGGTACAGGTATGCATGCATGACTCATGTGTGTGGAGTGCAGAGAGACGTTGACATCTAGACCCTTCCATAATCACCACACATCTTATTTTTGTGTCAGTTTCTTTTATTTTTTTTAAAAAAGAAAACTATTTCTTTTCATTGCACATACCAATACCAGTTCCCACTCCCTCCTTTCCTCCTATCCCCTCTACCTCCCCCGCCCCACCCTCAATCCACTCCTCAGTGGCACATTCCTTTGGGGAAGGTCCAAGGCCCTCCCTACTATATTTAGGCTGAGTAGGCAGATTGATGAATATCATAAATGTCACCATAGAGCCTTCATCCAGCAACTGCTGGAAACAGCGGCAGAGACCCGCAGTGGAGCACTGGACTGAGCTCCCAAGTGGAAGGAGTGAGAATATGAGCAAAGGGGTCAAGACATACCTTATTTTTTGAGACAGGGTTTGTTACTGAACCTGGAGCTTGCTAATTCAGCAAGACTAGTTGACCAGCAAGCTCCAAGGATCCTTCCATCTCTGTTTTTCCCGTGTTAGGATTAAAGGTGGGCACCAACCCATCCTTTTACATGGATGCTGTGGGATCTGAATTCAATCCCTTAACGCTGGCAGGCACTTTACTGACTAAGTCATTTCCCTAGTCCTTACATTTATTTAACTAATATAAAAACATAAAAATTTCAATATCAATAGACTATTACATAATGGTTAAATCAGGTTAAATCTGTTTCTTCCTCCAAACACTTATCAACCCTTTATGGTAAAAGATTCCTAAATCTTTTAACCTCACTTTTTGAAATGTGCGGGACATTCTTATTATTGGTAGTCAACCTACTGTGTAACAGTACAGCACGCTTCCTAACTATCTCGAACTCAGTACTCATTGATGAACCTTTCTACCTCCTTCTCTTCCTCCTTTCTCCCCCAGCCTGTGGTGAAATTCATTTCACTGTCAAATTCTTTGAGCTCAAGACTCTATATATGAGTGAGATCGTGGGGTTCTTACTATTTTGTATAGATCAAATAAAAGGAGTCATATATATGATGCTTATGTGGCTAATTTCTTTTAGTGTAATGTTTTCGGGATTCATTCCTTTTTGTGGCTGAATGGTACTGCATTGTATAGATATAATGCAGTTTTTTTATGCATCCAACGGGTAGCGGACATTTGGGTAGCTTTCTGCTCTTCGGTTATGATGAATAAGGCTGCTGTGATGATTTGCTTATATGCCTTGTGCAGGGGTGGGAAGCTTCAGTTTTCATGACATTTCATAAAGGATCAGGATGTAAAGGTTAAAAACCATCAATACAGAGCTTGGAGAGAGTATGACATTCAGCATTTATATATGATAATATCTATATGTCTCGATTATATTTTATTATTTAGAAAAGCTTGGGTTATATAGCAACTTGGGAGTAAGTGGAATCCTTTGTATTTTCCCTTGAGTTTGAAAGAGGAGACAGTAGAATTCTGTAAAGGGATCTTAGGCAAGATGTTTTGGCTTTATCATTTCTAAAATGAAGATGTTGGTACAGTCTCATGGAACTCCTGAGAGGCTAAAACAAGATACTGTCCGTGAGCAGTGTTACAAACTGTGAATCACTGTGTGTATTTACAGCATTTAAATTCTTCAAGTTGGAAATTATGCATGCTTTTTACTGACATAGTAGAAGGGATTTGCTTGTACAGAGAATTCAAATTCTTTATTTGCAAATCAATACCAAAGCTAGCTCTTGTGGCTCTTGCTGCTAATCCCAGCATTCAGGAGGCTGAGTGAAAAATATTGCTGTTGTTGGGGGTTAGTCTGTGGTGATTAGGGAGGAACAAGCCAGCCATAGCTACCTAGCAAGGCCTTCCTCAAAACAAACAAAAATACCGAGAGAGCCTACATAATTTGTATCCAGCTTTGACACAGTACAGAAAGACCTACTGTGATTCTCCCCTAATGAGGTGATGCTTATTCAGGACACAGATTTTGTTTCTGTTAAGAAGCATAATGAGGCATATACTTTTCTCTGTTTTGAGAGGACAGCATGTGTATATATTATGTGTCTGATAATAGAAACCTTTGGAGTACATGTTGTTTCTTTTATTGTTCCTAGTTCTTAGACTCTGTCTAGTAAAGGGATTGCTTTATGAATTGGCTCTGGCTTGGAGAAATGGAGTGATCCAACAGGACTGCAAGTGTTGTATATCTATAAAGCAAGCAAGATTGAGAACATTGTACTGATTTAAAATGACTTTATTTTTTGAAGTGTACAATATTTGAAACGTAATATGTTGGCTGTATTATTGAATTTCAAGGAAATGATTTTCTCTCTTTGAGAGTGCAGTAATCTAAACACCAAATGGAATGGATAATTTACTCAGCTACACATACATGGGTCACCGGCAAACGACGAAAAAGAAATGACTCCTTCATTTTCCTGTGGTTTCTTTTTTTGTTGCTGTTGAAGTGGATTAAACTACACATTCTTCTCTTTCTGAATAATAAACCCAGTAGAATGGGGGTGTAATGTACTTTCTCCCCCGAACACGGTTCATGACCTCATACGAAAGGCAA